TTGTATCTTGTTGAAACGATAGTTGTAGTCTACTAGCAACTTGTGCAGAGCGAATAATTGTTTTCAGGTCAGCACTATCGAATCATGCCTCGACTATATTTATCAAGTTTTGGTGTTCATCAAATTGTCAAATTTTGTATTGTTTGTAGTCAATTAAATTGTAATCTGTTTGCCAGTATTGCACAATTTATATATACAACGTATATTTACCCAACATAAATACTAAAAAACTATAACTAGATATAGCTTCGGATTTTTTTTGTTAGTACAATATGTGGGGTGGGGATCAAACTCACAACTTCTTGGTTGGAGATATATGTCAATTACCGATGAGCTATGCTCGCTTTGGCCAGTTTGAGATTAGTTTATTTAGTAGAAAGTATAAATAAATTGTTTATATATATATATATATATATATATATATATATATAGATAGATGATAAAACTTAGAAGTATTCCTACGTATTTTTTCCTTCATCAAAATTGTAGTTTTTTTTTTTTGGGTTGAGTTTAACACCTAAATTTTCATATTAGTATTTAATAGGTTTCTGAAATCTTAAAATTCTGTATTAGTTCTATAAAATTTCAATTTTATGTCTAACAGATACTTGAACACTCAATTTTGTRTCTAATAGGTTTCAAACATAATCAGAATTTTTTAAAATGAACGGATTTATTAGACATCAAATTGAATCTCGTGTCTAATAGAATCTTAAACGAAACTATTCGTTATGTTTTTAATAGGTTTGTGAWTTTTATAAAATTTTGAATATGTTTAAGACTATTGGACATAAAATTGAAAGTCCAAGAACGTATTTGACACAAAGTTGAAATTTTGGAATCTATTAGATATAAATAAAAAATTTAGGAACCTATTAAATAATTTTTAAAATTTAGAAACTTATGAGTTATTAAATATAAACTTAAAAGTTATTAAACGGAACTTAAAATTTAACCTAATTCTTTTATTTCATAATTATGTTTTTTTTAAATAATTTGCAAATATATAAATATATATATATATTTGATATGATGAAGAAAAAATGTAAAGAAGAAAGAAAACATTTTTCTTTTAGTACCTTTTTTTTCGAAAGAACTAAAGCAATTTTTTAAGAGGAAAAAACTTAACTTTTTTTTTATAGCAAAAGTATACATATAAATAGTTTGAACGTAGTGTTGCAAAAAAAAAAATTTTTTTGAAGGTAAATATTATATATATTATTTATGTGCTTCAACCATTGTGATAATTTATAAATCTATTATCTCTGTGAAAAAATTTATAAATCTATTAGTTTTACCCATAAATTAAGTATCTATACTTTCTATATCTATATCTATACTATATCTAAATGGGGTTATGGAAGAGAATTTTTGCCTTCCCATTTTGTCCCCAACTTTTGAATATATACCTATTTTGCCCTTCATATTTCTACGAGAGACACGACTCTTCGAGTTAAAGTGTCTATTGAGATAACAAATCTAAAAAGTTGTGACCATTCGATGAAACAAGAAGTTTAATCCAAAAGAGTTGTAACTGTTCGAGTGAAAAGGTGTGTTGAGAGAAGTTAATCCAATGAAAATTACAACTATTTTGATGAAGTGATGCATCTATCCACGTATAGGTGTTATAGCAAATAATCTATAAAATGAAAGATTATATCTTTTTCTTTTATGACCTAAAACTCATTTTCAAAATATTAATAAAGATTTTTCTTATCTTCATGAGTGAAAACTGAACCATGTCAAAAGAATATTTGAGATTTTAGAAACATATTTAATCGATTAAGAGGTAGAGTAACAAAATCATGTTTTCGTATTATCTTCAACTTTTATTTCTTTTATACTATTTTAATATTTTTATGTGGATTACTTTTAAGTTATATATTCATGATACCTTCGTGTTTTAATATTTAGTTAATGTTATTTTTAAGTTTGATTTAATATTTAGTTAATGTTCTTTTCACGTTTTAAAATATATTCATGTTATATTTTAGTATTTGTTTTCTTATTTGCTTTGTTCTTATTTTATTTTTCTTGGTCATGTGATTCTTTATTCCATATTTTTTCAATGATTTCATGGTATACATAGTATTCAGTTTCTCTCTCAAATTTCAATTCTTTAATTTTGGTTCATTCTTCCTTATTACATAATATACAAAAGATAAAAGAATGAGTAAATAATTTAAGAGAAYACAAAAAGATTATTGTTGTTTTCTTAAAAAAGAAAAATTGACAACGAATAATATATTTTATTTGAAACAAAATATTAGTACCATTTAAAAGTTCAGTTGAGTTGTTATTCTACRTGTTAAATTGGTAGAAATATTATATTAAATATATTTTATTTGAAACAAAATATTAGTGCATTTAAAAGTTTTTGTTATTCTACRTGTTAAATTGTTAGAAATATTATATTAAAATGTTTATAACCGCGTGAAATGCACGYGATATTAACTAGTATAATTAAATGATGGAAAAGTCTAGACTCAGAAGCYTAGCTAAAATGCAAAGGCTCGACCAACAGAGGACAGACAACCAATTCGACCGATTAGGACTTGCAGGGACGTTGAATCCCTTTTAGTACTAACATGTGGGGGTGGGGGATCGAACTCCCAACCGTAGGATTTTAAGGTGCGAGAAAAAATGGAATTTAAGAAAACTAGTAAGAAACACGTGCGATGCACGTGGAACTCGAAAGTTTTATTTTTAAGTACAAAAAAATTAATTAAAAAAAGTGATAAATTATAACGTAACCTAATTTTATAAAATTGAAAATGTTGGTTTCAGCATTTTATTATTATTATATGACTATTTTGGGTATTCGTATTATATTATATTAATTTTAATTAATACAAAATATTGATTTAAACAATTTTCTGTTCATTTATTTATGGTACTTTTTACGATTCCTAATTATTTATTTATGTGAATATTTTAGATAATTCTTTTTTTCATATGAATATTTTTTTATTGGAATTTAAATCAACACATATGATGTTGCATGAATGCTGAACTACGTATTATATTTTATCATGATTTTTTATAAAAATATTTTATCAGGATTAATTACAATTCTTCATTTATCATAAAAAAATATCACAATATATTATTTACTTACGATTTTTTTTTGTAATTATAATTTAAAAATAAAGGATAATTAATCATTCAACAAAATTGAAACTGAATTTAAATATGTTAATGAAATTAATAATTGTTTTATATAATACAATACATTATTTATTGGACTTTATTTCTAAATTAGAAGTGGAAAAATTACTTAATAATTACCTACTATAGTTCTCACCTATTTTTACCTATACCGACCCAATATTATCATATGTAGCTCAATCATAAACTTCAGCTAATAACAAAGCCCGACTACAAGGATTTTGTATTTCTAAACATAAATGCACAAATTATAGAAACCTATTTTTCTCTCCTCTCCCTTCACGCGTGTATCGCCTTTCACTATATGTCGTCTTCTTCTATCCAGTGCTGCTACTGTCTCAACAGCTTTCTCCTTCTGGCTCGCCACTRCAGTTCCCTCTCTAATTTAGAAATAACATTTTGCCACCTCGACTACAACTGTTATGCCCTCTGTCTTCCCTATAACGACTTCTACTATGCCCTTTGGTTAAGTATGGTGAGAATGAAAATCTCACTTTCTCGCAAGTTTTTTAGTGCTCTCCCCTTTRYATTTGGTATTTATCTCACCCACTATGTATATATATATCTCTCGAAAAGATGAAGAAGATGAAAGAGTTTTTAGAAGTTAAATGGAATAAAGATAATGGAGCATTTATGATCTAATTATAGKCTTGATTCATAGTATATGGCAAAATTGAAATAGGAAGATGAAACACTAAAATGTATTATGACATAAATGAAGGGAGATGGGAATTTAGAGGGGTGTGATCGTTAGGGAGAGAAGAGAGAAATGGAGAGAGAGAAAATTTGTATTTAAATTACGCAATTACAATCAAAAAACAGTGAAGAGAGTTAAAATGAGAGGGTAAAAATGGAACACAAAGTTTCTCTTAATAGTGGCTTTTATATAGATTATAGAATTATAGATTATATATTATAGATTATAGATAGATTATTCACATMTACGTTGAAAATATTATTCTTGATTGGTTTTGTATAATTTTGTGTTAAAGTTACACATTGTAACTTTATGCGTTGAAGTTACATCTATGTTAAACTTAAGTTATTTCTTAAATGTGAAGTTTTTTACATGTACGTATTAATGTTATATATGTGTTTAATTTTTGTGTGAGTGGTTACATATTTGGGCAATTATATATASTGGTTGGTTTTCTTCATTTGAGATATCAAAGTATTTATCATTTGAGTTCTCYTCCTCTCATAAGAATTTATCTTATTTTGAGTTTGTTATTGTCTCTGTTGAGAGCAAATATCTAAGAATTCTGCTAGTTCAGAGTAGTTCGAAGTTTTTCTATCGGAGTTAGTTGTTGTATCCTACTGAGACACCGCTGTGGTATGTTAGCAACTTGTGTAGAGGGAATAATTATCTTCAGGTCAGTGATATTGAAGCGTGCCTCGACTATATTTATCAAGTTGTCAGAAWTTGTATTGTTTGTAGTCAATTACGTTGTAATCTGTTTGTTAGTATTACACATTTTATATGTACAACGTATAGTTACCCAACAACAACTTCTTGGTTGGAGATATGTCAATTACCGTTGAACTATTCTTCATATCGACTTTCTTTTATTATTGAAGATTGATACAAATTTTGGTAAATTCTAAAGACCAAAAGTAATTTTGGTATTAAAAAAAGAAAGAAAGAAAATAAAGTATAGAGTCGAAAAATAAAATACACTAGACCGTTATAAATGTTGAGAACGAAAGAAAAAAAGAAATAGCCCAAAACTTTTGTTAAAAAAAAAAAGGAAGAAGAAAATTATAGATTCCACGTGGAACCGCTACATAACCTGGTCTATTTTACTGGCAAATGCAAAATTTCTAAACTTGGAACTTCTCAGTCAATTTCTACACTAGGGTTTCTTATTAAACTCTCTCTCGCAACCCTATCGACGGGCTTCATTTTCTTGGATTCCAGTGCCCAATCTCTCCTGTAACTGGTAAGAACCAATTCGTCTTCAATTTTTGTTTCTCCGTTTCGTAATCTTGATGCCACTTTTTCAATTTTATCTCTCTGTTTTTTCATGTGTATGGAGCTGTCAATTACGGTATGTTGATGGCTTGATCCTTCTGAGAAATTTCTAATTCATAGTTTCATGGGTTTCGCCGCAGGGTTCTTCTGTTCTTGTTGAATGTGAAAGAATATGTATTCGTCTAGAGGCAGTGGTAACTACGGACAGCAGTCATACGCTGCGCAGACTGGATATGGCCAAAATGTACTCTTTCCACTTCATATTCTATTTCTGCGTGTCTCTGGAACCTTAATCGTTATTTTGACATTTTATTTCCCACCCAATCGTTGATTTTTGACGTTTTGGTACGCTCTCCATTTTATCGTTTGATTTGGCATCCAATCGTCGTGGTTAGAATTTTTTAAAAAAGCCTCTTGCGCTTGAAAACCTGTTTTGATCTGGGTTTTAGCAAATGCTTTTGCCTCAATAATCTTTATCCCTTTTCTATTTTTCTGTACTCGATACGAGTTTTTTTAAATAAGGAATTTTATTTCTTTGGTTTAATTTCAGCAATCATTAGTTTTGTGGCTGCTTGAAAGGATGTTTAGGGATAAGGAAGTATGAGCATAGGAGATGACTGTTTGGTTATTTTGTTGGGTTTGTAGAGTTCTTTCACCACTTTCATTATTGTTGTCATATTATGATAATTTCTGGTGCTTTTATAGTTGGGAAGTGTCTACCCTGGAAATTCGGTTGGCGGACCCGACTCTCAACAACACCCCATGGCATCTAGGCACTCTTCAATGCTGGGAGCTTCACAAGAAGCTGATACTACTGCATATAGGTCTCATCCATCAAGCACCACTCATTATGGAGGGCAATATAGTTCTGTGTACACCTCAGCTTCTTTAAGTAGCAAACCACAGGTCAGGTTCTCGTCCATCTATGCAGACTTTCCTTGGGACTCTTATGTTATTTTGCACACGTCTTTTAGGGTAGTGAGTTCCCCCCACATATCGGCTGATTTACTTTTTCTGAAACTCAACATTTATTCGTGGAAAGTAGAAAGTTATGCCCTTATTGTTCACAACCCGAGAGAAAAACTGAAAGATRCATACAAAGTAGGATGTTAGGAATATACTTCCTCAAAGTAGGTTTTTGATCAATTTTTATTATTCTGGTATTTTCTCTAGCTCTTTAGTCACCACTTGAATATGATAAATTGACAATTTAAATCCAAATTTGTATTCTAGTTGTTTTGGTTTAAGAGGAACCTTTGCGGATCTTTATTTCCTTCTTTACCTACAGGAGGGAGATAGTTAGGAGAATTAGAACATATCTTTTTGGAAGATGGAATCATTATTGGCTATTGTGCAATCATGTTTAACACAAATGCCAAATCTGCCGATCCAAATCATGTTTGTGGTTACTTCTTGATGAGCTTGATTTGATTTGTATAACTGAAGGCTTATGAATTTGCCTATTTGGGTGGAGAACCTCTAACTAGAAGCATGAATATTGGTTTGTGCTTCACCTTTTTTTGGTGGTTTGGTTGTATCATAATCAAAGGACATTTCAAATGAGTTTTGAGGACATCAAATTTTCTTTTGATATAGGTAATTTGTTGTATCTATGAGTTATGAATTAGTGTTTTCTTTAGCTTTACAACATTGTTTGAAAATTGGAATTTCATAATACATTTTGCATCAGAAGATTCTTGCATCCTAAGTATATTATCATTTCAATTAGTATCATCAGTTTCTTACCTGATCAAAAATTTGTTGGGATGCAGCCTTGTGGGCCATCCTTTGGTATTATAAGTGGTAAATTATGGTAGATAAATAATTGAGATCTCATTTTTATCCAACATTGATATTAAATTATTGACCTATTTTGCTAAATATAGGGTCCTCAACTGACTGCCAAAGGGAGTGGTGTTCCATCAGCTTTGGAAGGTCGGGGAGGCTATGCCTCAGCCATCCCCGATTCCCCCAAGTATCTGTCAAGTGACTATATGTCATCTTCAAATCATGGCTATGGTCATAGAACTGATCAGTTGTTCACTGAAAAGGTTACTGAATATCCTACTCTTGAAAGGCGGCAATATAGTGAGCGTCAGAGTGCCTATTTGGGGAGGGATTTGAAAACTGATGCAGCTGGACGATTTTCGGARTCAGTTGGTTTTGGGCATCAACGTCATGTATGGTTTCTATTAGAATTTTCCTTGGGCATATCTGTTTCTTTCTCAAGTATTTCTTTCCCGAAMATAATGAGATTTGACTGCTTTGTTTATGCATGTGCCCTTGATGGTATTCTCGCCATTGTGCTCCAATAGCCCGACTCGTATGACCGTGTTGATCAGATGTCCTTGCTTCGGCAAGAGCAGTTGCTAAAAGCTCAATCTCTGCAATCAGATGCCCTCGATGGGAGCTCAAGGTACAATATTTTGGTTAGCACAATTTTATGTTGAACTAAGTGAAAGTTGGGTTGTAATTTTTTTTAATGGAAATWTGGAAGTTTGTTTGTGATCATACGACTCTTCCAATAGTCAAAACAATATAACAACTAAATTTTCTAGATTTTCTTTTTGCTTTTATTGTTGTTAGTATATAGAACGAATAAGATGATTGTTTGTTTCTTATGACGCTAAGGAGCGAGACATTTCTGGCAGACAAAATGATTACCTTGCAACAAAAGCTGCTGCTAGTCGTCATTCCACCCAAGAGCTTCTCTCTTATGGAGTAAGAGTAGATGCTGATCCTCGCAATGTGTCGGTGCTTAATTCTTCATATAGTGGGCAACATTCTACATCAATTTTAGGGGCCGCTCCACGGAGAAATGTGGATGAACTTATCTACTCCCAGAGTTCATCAAATCCAGGTTATGGAGTGAGCTTGCCACCAGGCAGAGACTACGCTGCAGGGAAAGGGCTTCATGGCACTTCTCTTGAGTCAGATTATTCAGGTAGTATGTTGACACATAGTAGCCATCCAAGGATTGATGAACATAAAGATGATAGAGCTGGTTATCTTCGGGAATTTGAACTTCGAGAGGAGGAGCGTCGGAGGGAGCGTTTTCGCATGAGAGAGAAAGAAAGAGAAAGGGAGAAGGCACGTGAACGGGAACGCGAACGGGAACGTGAACGTGAACGAGAACGACGAGAACTTGAACGCGAAAGAGAACGAGAAAGAGAACGAGAAAGAGAACGGGAAAGGGAGCGCCTCTTGGAAAGGCAGAAAGAACGAGATAGAGAATTCAAACGTGGGCTTGAAATTAGGCGTGAGCGAACTCCACCAAGAGTTTCTAAGGACCGACGTGGTTCCTCTCTKACAAAGGAGGGAAGATCATTTCGCCGAGATTCTCCACATTTTGAAGCTTTGCATAGGTGGATCTTGATGTTTATTTTTGACCCTCCTCTAGTTCCCCATGTAGAATCTTTATTGGTCCATTATAACTAACTCGGTGTTCTTTAATACTGAAGGCATCATTCACCCGTTAAAGAAAAAAGGAGAGAATATGTCTGCAAGGTAAAAAGATAGCTCGGTCATTCAATGATTTTGACGAGATATATCCGATTAAATATCTGGTTCCTACCTATTCGAGTGTGCAATTTAGGGGTTCGACTTTATAGGATTTAATTTGCTTGCTCCATATTTTTTTTCTTTCATTCCCTCCATTGCTTCTTGGCTCTTTTAGTGTTGAATCTCAACTTTTCCTGAAATTTGATTACATCAAATGTGGGGGTGGGGTTTTGAACCCTTGACCTCAAGGGTAGGAGTATATACCTTAACTGTTGAGCTAGTTCTTGATGGCTGTTTTTCCCCTATTTTTCATTGGTTCCACCTGGATTCCACTTGTTCCTTATCTTCCTTGGCTCAAACAAGGGTTGCCATAAGCCCAATTTCTTCTCCTCCCTCCCCTACATGCTTACACTTTACTCTATATCCTCACAMCTTACTCTATATCCTTACACTTGACTCTGGGTTTCTTCAGTTCCATAAGTTTCTTTTTGTCCTGCATTAGTTTTCTTGTTCGGTCCTGCATTTGCTCCACCTGGATTCTATTTGATCATTGCCTTGACTTTCCCACTCTTCTGGAACACGTTCCTTGATACATATTTTTTTTGCAATTGTGATAACTACCATGAAGTGTTTTCATTATCTTCATTTGTTCCATTTGGATCCCATTTGTTCATTGCCTTCCTTGACTTTCCGTTCTTCTGGAGCAAGCGCTTAAAATATATAGTTCTTTTTGCAATTGTGATATTATAACATTGTTTCTGGGAGCAGCGTGGCATATCTTCTGAGCTCCTAGAATATATTTGGGATTTTTTTTTCTGATCTATTTTGTATTTTCAATCTTCATCTAAAATTTGGAGTAAAATCTCTTTTTGGTTTTAATTTGACTTGGATGATGGTTAATTTTTCTTGTATGTATAATAGTTGTGTTAAGAACATATAAGGATTGTGATAAACTCATGGAATCRATTTTTTTTATACCCCATAGGAATCCTTGTTTATCTGTTCTCTGTAGCTGTTTACTTGCTTCTGTATGATTATTTTTTGTGTTGCAACCAATGATTAAYTTATGTAATTCCCCCCTCCTCCCTCCAATTGTGGGTATCAACTTTTATCACTTGCAGGTGTACCCACACAGTTTAGTTGACGTACAACGGGATTATTTGTCGTTGGAAAACCGATATCCTCGGCTCTTTGTTTCCCCAGAATTTTCAAAGGTGCATACATTGCGTTGTATGTGTTCTAGGAAATTTCATTTATAGATTGATAGTAGATCTTTGGACCTGAATCCTGATATTTTCAATTTATCTAGGTTATTGTGAATTGGCCAAAGGAGAAACTMAATCTTTCCATTCATACTCCTGTCAGGTATTTATCTTTCACTTGTCATTCATGTAATTTTGAAAATTTTCTTGTAGGTTCCTGGGAAGTGCATTGTAAATGAGGTTATGCACATTTTGTTTTCCCTCCTTCTGTCAGTGTTGAGGGTTGGGGATTGTAAATATACCCATTTGGGTTGAGCATTTTATTTCTGCCCATTTCGTGCATGTACATGTCCATGCTTGTTTTGCATCAATCACAAGCTACACTTTATTTTTCTCTTAATGCGGGTTCTGCCACTTTGATGGAGTTTCTGGGTTTTATGAAAAAACCATAAGCAAACGTATTAAAGAAGAGGTCGCATGATGAAAACAAAAAGTTCAACCTATTCTACTGTTTTTAAGATACTATTTGAGAACCTAAATTTCTATTTGAAACTTTTTTTTTTCTTTATGAGTACAAAAATTTGGAGATATGGGAGATCGAACTTCCAACCTCGAGGGAAGGAGTATATGCCAATTACCACTTAGCTATATGCTCATGTTGGCAAATTTCTATTTGAAATTTCTTTTGATAAGAAACAATATGTACCTTGAGCATCTATTTTTCTTTGCATACATATTACTTGTAGTTTAGATTTATGATCTGGAGTTTTTGAGTGATTTATTGTTTCTTAAAGGTGTAATGGCAATCTAATGCCTTTTTGTTGCTACAGTTTTGAGCATGATTTTATTGACGAAGGGAGTGTAGCTGGCTCAAAAGAGCTTTCCGACGAGCATRAGGCTAGAGAATCTATGAAATCAGATCATGTGAATATAGTATGGAATGCGAAGGTAGATTGCTTGTAACATGCTTCTGATGTTTACTGCAATCACTCTGTTTCTCATGAAATGTGCCTTTTGAAAACTTTCTTGTACTCTAATTTTCTGAGTGTTAATCAGGGAAGTATAATCCACTGGTCAGTTTATACCTTCTTTAATGATCTTTTCCTTTTTGTAAYGTCTCCCATAAAATTTTGGGTTTTGACAATGACTAGTTATGTGAATACAAATTTATTTCCCTGAAAAAATTACATTGAAGATAGCCCAAGGAAGTATATGGAAATGTTTTCCTTGGATATATGCTTGCTGTTCTTTGTTTTCTGAATGGAGGAGGAATGCCGTTTTGTGGAGTGGATTTTGAAAACTCTGCTTACCATTGAAGATTTGACCACTGTCTAGTTAATCACCTAAATTATAATAGATACATGCATTAGTTGTCAAAATATGACCGGTCATTGTACATTTACTACTTTATAGTCGGAGGAAAATAAACCATTATCTGTGGATTATGTGTGGGATCTTATTAGATTTGACACTTCTCTATGGGGATCRGTCACTAAGGCTTTTTGTAATTATCAGTTAGGAGTTATTCTTTTGGATTGGAGCCCGTTTCTTTATGGGTTTCCTGTTGCTGGGCTGTTTGTTTGTATGCCATCTTTTTGTAGTTTTTATTCATTTTTCTTCATATAAAAAAAAAAAACCATTGTCTGTCTCTGTCAATCGATACATAGGTGCATGGTTTTATCATAGTGATGCATCTTTTTATTTATTTTAATTTCTTTTCTCCCTTTTGTTTTGAATTTAAAGGTAAAAAAACACAGTTCAGTGCCTGTTGCTCATGTATTTAATTTTGTCTCATGATTCAGATTATTTTGATGAGTGGTATCAGTAAAAATTCTCTCGAGGAATTATCATCTGAGAAAAGYTCGGATGACCGCATACCCCACTTCTGCAACATCCTTAGGTTTGCAATTCTTAAGAAAGATCGTAGTTTCATGGCAATTGGTGGTTCATGGCAATCGTCTGATGGTGGTGATCCTTCAGTTGATGATGCTGCTTTAGTTCAAACAGCCCTTAGGTTTGTGCCATGTGCTACTTGTATTTATATGCAAGGAAGAGGATTGTTTTGTCTTACTCATGCCTTGTATTTATATCTAGATATGCAAAGGATGTTACACATCTCAACTTGCAAAACTGCCAACACTGGAATCGTTTCTTAGAGGTAGATATGTACAAATACTGTTAAACCTGATTGTGTCTGTTATCCTTATACTGCACTGCATATCTAGCTCCTTTATTTTTTGTATTTAAAGAGCTAACACTCGGAGATATTTGTCTCTATCAGATACATTATGATAGATATGGCAAGGATGGGGTATTCAGCCATAAAGAAGTCTCTGTACTATTTGTTCCAGATTTATCTGATTGTCTCCCTTCACTAAATGCATGGAAGGAACAATGGCTTGCACATAAAAAGACCGTCTCCGAGAGAGAGCGCCACATGGCACTGAAAAAGGAGGTTTGTCATTTTATTGTTTTGAGYCGTCAATATTGAGGCATACTATTACTTTTCTTCCTTTTATTTGAAGAACTCATGTCTGTTACCTGTCAATGAAAAATCCTTTTTGAATGCTCTGCTTTGTGCCATGCAACTTGGATTGGATCATATTTTGATGTGTAGAATGACTGAGGTCAACTTATGATAGTTAGTGGATGAGTCATACACTGAGTGTATATGTTATGCATTCCTACATATGTCTATAATATACTGGATGCAGTGTACTGAACAAAATTCAAAAAGATAAAGGAAGATATTCCAGCCGTTCTGGCGTAATTGAGATGAACTTATGATAGGTCCAAGAGATTGCCATACACGCATTAATGTTATGACCTTACTTGAATAGGATATATTCTATTGGTTGTACTATAGGTTGTATCATTGTGTCATTGAATAATAAATTTCCTATGTACATAATTTACTGAATATAAAGCTGGGTGGCTATTCCAACAGATAACTATAATTTCCTGTTAGTATGGTCTGTGAGCTGTGGTGGTGCATCAATTATAGGAARTTCTTTTGTAACTACGACCTTTCCATGGTCATTAACAATTGGAAAGAGATTGTCTAGTTTCATGGGTGGGGTTCTCTCTACCCCAGCACTTAGGCTGTTACCTTTTGTTTTTATGAAATGAAGAATTTTTCTTATCTTAAAAAAAATGGTCTGTGAGCTGTGATTGATCATATGTAATCATGGTTCTTGAAGTGTTCTAACGTAATAACTTTTGAATATGTTGATTTATTTATTTGGGATAGGAATCAGAATATGTTAATTTATGGGCATAGATTTAAAAGGTTTTTAGGCGCTAGGTACCCTTTTATGGGTCAAGGCACTCAGTAAGAACTTTCCTCGATGCTGATACTTCTAAATAATCTCCTAAATACGACCCTAGTCTTATTCTTATCAATGTGTCGATTAGGAGCACGAATTTCATAGTTTCATTGATCAAGGTGGAGATAGGAAATCAACCTAAACAGGCTTAAAGTTCGGTGCAGTTATTATGCAGTCATTCTTTTAAATGGAAAGCGAAGATTTTGTAGTTATTGGGTGTCCATGATGAAAGAGTTCTGTAGTTTCTGTTTATTATTCTTGATGTTGAATCGCTTTATTTTAGTTAGGTTTTCTGTATTGGCTCCCTTTGATCTTGGCAGGTTTTTGTATGCCTTTTGTATATCTTTCCTTTTTCTCCATGAAAGTATGGTTTTTCATCGAAAAAAATGGAAAGCAAAGATTTTGTGGGTCAAAACTCTTAGGTCAATTATTGGAGCATTTGATTGAAAACAAACAACAGAATTTTTCATAGAGAAGCATGAGAGGGAGAATTCCACTTCTTTGAGACTCTACTGCTTTCTAATAACTTCTTGAACATATTGATCAAGGATGGAGTTCCTATTCAATAACAGTTGTGTAGGAATTACAATTTGTAGGTCTGGCAGTATTGCAAATATTCTATCCTCACCTAGATTAGGAATACACTGACTGTAAAGATGATGTAGCCTAAAAAAACCTTCGATATAATTGTCATAGAGAAGTTTAACYAAAGTGATATGTCAATAACTTCCCTCAGCCCAACAATTCTGCACATTTTCCTTTTGATATATAATTTGTTTTTTGGTATTGTGCGCCTTTCCAAATAAAAGCTATTTATTTATTTACTTTTTCCATCTTGTGTTTAAGTCCATGCTGCATTGCATTTAAAAAAACCTTGGTCATGGGGGCGACTGGTTCTTTTCCTTTCAATTTAAGTTTTCTGTGGAGCCACGTTTTTTATTTTGTCCTTTAAAACTATGCATTTGCCTTCCAAGCCTTTGCCGACCCTGTAGTATTTTTTTCTCATCTTAAATTTTAAGACTCAAGATTTCTCTTTTATTTCTGCACTAATATAACAATGCTTATTATCTCAGGTATCAAAGGAGACGAAGAAGGAAGGCGTGGAAGGTACCTTTTTGTTGCACTAGCTACTTGAAAGATACTAATGATTTTACTATTTTTACTACCAAAATGTTAACATCTCTTTTCTATCTATATTCTTAGTCAAAGAAATGACATCCACAAAGGATTCTAAAAGTGTTGATAACTCAGAAAAAGAKCAGCCTTCTGTGCCAACCAGGCAAGTGGACATAGATAAAAAGGGGAAGAGCGACAAAGGAAGTACATCTGAGGGAAGGGGTAATGTAAGTAGCACAACACTTGAAAGCAAAGATGTGGATGAAAGAGGTGAAGAAGCTCAGAATGTTGAGAAATCTGATCAAGCRGAGGCTGCTGGTGGTAGTGGCACTAAAGAAAGTGGCACTGTGAAGTCTGGAAAAAAGAGGGTTGTCAAGAAGATTGTCAAACAAAAGGCCAAAACGATTGGTGATGCAGCCAGCAAGAAAAATGACAAACAGGACGAGAAGGTTGATGCAGAGAAGAATGCTGACATTTCTGGACCTTCGGATCAACCTTCAAATGATACTGCTGGTGTCAAGACATTTACAAGGAAAAAGGTAATTAAACGGGTGGGCAAAAGTGCTCAAAATGAAAAGAAAGAAATACTTGCAGAAGGACAGAAAGAAATGGACTGCTCTGAGGATAAGCCTAAAAAGGATAATTCAGATATGAGTGCAACAGTTGTTCAGGATAATGTTGTGAAAACAACGGTGAAAAAGAAAGTAATCAAGAGGGTCCCTAAAAGAAAGGTTACTGGTGTGGCATCTAGTGAGGAAGTTTCTAAGAAAGGTGAAGATGGTGATGGGGATGAGAAGAAGGTTACAGGAGATGATGAAACACATAATGTGGAGAAGTCCACTACAGATGCTGATAAAAAGGAAGAGAAGATTCCTAAATTGAAGTCAACATCACCTACTATGAAACGGCGTGCTTCTGTGAATAAGGCTGTGAAAGAGCATTTGAAGAATGAAAATGAAACTGGCAATGACATCAATACTGTGACCAATTTGATTGAAAAACAAGGTGAGAAGGATAGCAATAATGAAAAGAGAGAAAAATCTAGAGATGGTGAACAATCAAAAGATGAGAAAGAGAAAATGGGTAAAGACGAGTCTAGAAGCAAGTCAAACAAAGAAATAAAAGAAAAGAGAAAATCCGAGGGGGAAGATGAGAAAGAGAAAATGGGTAAAGACGAGTCTAGAAGCAAGTCAAACAAAGAAATAAAAGAAAAGAGAAAGTCTGAAGAACCTCCACGGCATCCTGGGTTGATTCTACAAACAAAATGGAGCAAGGATTCCAAAGTAGGCTGATTTTAACCTCATTCATTTACATGAATAGTCTGATAGTGCATTCTATAACGACATTATCTTAATTATACCTCTAATTATGCAATCTGCTGCCTACAGTTTCGATCATTGTCACTCTCCCTGGACTCGCTCTTGGAGTATACGGACAAAGACATTGAAGAATCAACATTTGAGGTACCCCTTCTTTCCCAGCCAGTTAGATTTTCATTTTCGTCTCTTCCTATAGTCCTCTACTCCTCTGTTATGGATCTCTATAAATAGTTTGTTGTCCTACAGCTTACATACTATTGTGATCCAATCATCCAAAGCAATATTGCTGGTTTATTGCCTGCTTACATGGTTCTTTCTTCTTTGCAGCTTTCACTATTTGCTGAATCACTGTATGAAATGCTTCAGTATCAGATGGGATGTCGTATTTTAACTTTTCTTCAGGTTGTATSAGCTTTTAAGCCAGTTAAGTTGTTCTGATGAAATTAAGCTCATATATATTTATTCTATCTATTATTCTGTCATAGAAATTGCGTGTCAAGTTCGTGTCAAAGAGAAATCAGCGGAAGCGGCAACGGGAGGAAATGCTCAAGGAAGACAGTAAAAAATCATCACCGAAGCGGCCAAAGACTATTGACATTCCTAGTGAAGATAAATCTACTGAGCCAGAAACATTAAGTCTGTCTCAAGTGGATGCTGGAGCATCAGCAGTGGAGGGGAATAACTCAGCTGATCATGTTGATGAGACAAAGATGGAAACTGAAACAGATAACGGTGGTGAAGAGCTTGAAGAAGACCCAGAAGAAGATCCCGAAGAGTACGAGGAACTGGATGACGCAAGTTCTCATCATAACTCAGAGGCATCTCTCTTCTCTCTTCTCTCTTCTCAACCCCACCCCTCATCACAAAATTTTTTTGGAAAAGTGTGCTTGTGAAATTAAATTTATTGCTTAAAGATTTAAGTTTAAGATTTGAGACGGGATAATCTCAGAAAGGGTGCAGGTCTAGTGCCGAAGTGTGCTTGTGCCCTTCTACTTTATTTGAATCTTTTGGATGTCTAATATATTGTGTGCCTCACCTCACTAAAAGTTTTTTTTTTTTTGGTCCCATGCATAAGCTCCAGTGATCTACTGCCTCGGTGTGCTTTCCACTTTAAGAAACATTTGACGTGTGTTTTATTAAATTTTTATAACATTCTATGCCAGGAAATAATATTTTGAAATTGGTGTAATGTTTTCCTTCTGGTAATAGATTGAAGCAGATGAAGAGGGTGCTACAATTGACACCAACGAAGAAGATGCTAAGACTGAACCAAATGAAGAGGGGAAGACAGCGGCAAATGTAGAACCTGAAAAAGATGCAGCAAATCAACCTGATGAAGTCAAAGGATCGATCCAGGAAAGTCTTAGCAAGAAAATGACGGAGTCTGATAAAAGACTGGCAGAGGAGGAGACGAAGAAGAAAGAAGTTTCATCTCCAAAGGAGGCTGTGGTAGACAAGGAGCTACTCCAGGTGCTTTACAAACCTTACAAATTCATAAAAATATAATTTAGGCTCCAGGAGCTGATTTACATTCTTGCTAATTTTGATTCTCTGGAACAGGCTTTTAGGTTCTTTGATCGAAACTTAGTCGGTTATATTCGGGTGAGTCTAGTTCTTCCTTGGAAGTTTTCTGTGGTTGTATCATGTACCAAAAAAACAAAAATGGCAAGGAAAAAGGAATCGAACATTCTCATATCAAGCTGTTATCCAGCAATGGAATCGAAAACTTACTTGCAGCATTTTGCTCTATCAGGTTGAAGATATGAGAACGGTAWTCCACAATATGGGGAAGTTCCTTTCTCACAGGGATGTAAAGGTGGGTAGAAAAATAGCAATTGGATAGTAAGTAATAACAACTAAATGCCATCCAGCTTTATTTTGATAATGCTTATTCCCCCATTTCAGGAACTTGTTCACAGTGCATTGTTGGAGAGCAATACAGGAAGAGATGATCGGATCCTCTACGGTAAACTTGTACGAATGTCTGACATTTGAGATTGTAGTATGGATCTGTGGTCAAGATTTTTTTAGTTTGGCAAACCAAGCAACAAAAAAAGGTATTTTTTGCTGGAAATTTGAAGAATTTGGCAGTTTTGCATTTTTATATGTTAGGTATTATTAGATTGAATTGTTAAGGCGTTCACAAGATAAATATGATTGCAGTTTATTAAATCTTGAGAATATTTTCACCTCCTTTTGTTGCCTCACCTTGATTAACAATCTTTCTTCTCAAGAAATTGCGTGGCATGCAATGATAGGTTGTAGATTCTAGATCGATTTTATGTATCATTAGTTGACTGGGTGCAAGTGCAATTTGGTTGAGGTATTAGTAGCTTCTTTAGAGGTGGTTTTGATTGATTTGTAATTTTAAGGAAAAAATTTGACTCAAGTTAAGGAACTCTCTCTCATTATTATTATTATTTTTTTAATGTCAAATATTTAATGGTGTTACGAAGAAGTTTCTCAACTTTAAGGAGTCAAGACAGCTAGTTGCAACTCAAAAGCATGAAATGTATATAAAAGAAATTCAGCCACTTTTATTTTTGATGCCAATACGAAAATGTATGCCTTGGATATGACTATAGCGGTCAAATAAGCTCTTTAGCCTGTGAGGCATCTCACGCCCATAAAAAAGGTTGGATTGTATAAGTTTGAAACTGTATACAAATAAGAGGCCGGTGCGTAATGGCTTTCTTTTATGGTGGCCTGCTTCAAGTGACCAATCTAGAGCAAGGGAGGGGTAGGGTGGTATTTTGCTCTTTTTACGGATTAATACTCATCATAGGGGTGTTCATGAGTTGGGTTAGGAAGGGTTTTAGGACCAACGGTTGGCCATATATAGGAATCGTCAGGTTTGAATTGAATTGCAAACCCAATCCAATTCAAACCCAATCCAATATATTCAGGTTGGGTTCAGAGGGTTTGCTATATAGTAATAGTAGCAATTCTGTAAGTAGAAAATACCAAGGATAGCCATTGTGTGAAGATTTTWGTCGTGAAATTCAGTGCTAGAGGTACGGTTAGAAAGCAAAAAGGGAAGAAACGGAAGCTCTATTTCACACACGTTGGAGTTTGTAGGGAGTTACGAGGGTTGGAAATGGATACACAAGAATGAACCCAAATAATTACATAAATGTCTATTATTAACTTTTATTTTAAAAATTTTCTATTAGAAATTGTGTTGGGGTGATCGAGTCGGTTTTTCTCTTTCTTTTGTTACGCTAACCAATCGGCTGCAGTTCGTTTGGTCGGTTTAAATCGTTTTTTGTTCCTTAAAAAAATGAAGAAAAATGTTGAAGAGCATTAAAGAAAGAATCAAAAATGAATGGAAGATTACAAAGGAGACTTTACTATGGCATCTAGCTGTGTGAGTGAGGGGAAAGAAGTCGAGAGACTCGAGATTTGAGAGGAAAATATATAGATGCAAAAGTGAGATTGGAAGAAGAAGATACCGGTTGGCTGTAAAAGTTAGAAAGAAAGAAAGTACCTAAGAGGGGAGAGAGTATAAAATTGAATAATGAATGAAGAAAAAAATCGAYCAAACCAACCGACAACGAGTTATAAAAGCAACTCCGACCAATATTTTTGTCAAATCAACCGATCTACCAACATCGGTTTGGTCGATTTTGATCAACCAGATCAATTTTTCGGAGTTCTTTCGCACCCCTAATCTGATGGGTACATAAAGTTACAATAAAACCCCTAATAATTGACAAACCTTCTTTAATAGATTTTGAAAATAAAATATTCTTTTTTAAAAGATGGAAAAGGAATTTTGCTTTACTTTCCAAAATCAACTTCCATACCCTACTGTTTAGTTCTATATATTCTGTGTATAAATTTGTAAGAACCAAAATCACATAAACTTCCACGGCATACGCAATCTTCTCCAAAATTGAAAGGATCCCCTTATTTTAAAATATATTGCAGTACATTTTCCGTCAAATTTCTTGGGAAATTGGATTAAAATGAAATCTGCCCTACTTTTGAAAACCTTTTTCAATACTTCGGTCTATGTATTGTCRGCACGTCACATCATAAGCGGGTATGGTTCTTTGAGGTGGTTGTGTTATCGACCCTCTAAGAAGATCAACATACCATGAGACTAACCATTCAACAAGATCAATAGACTAGAGGTTGATCCACGAAGATCAACACACCAGTCATCATTAGAGGCCGATTTAGCAAGATCAACAAACTAGAGGTCGATTCAAATGACTTTAAATTCGAGAATAAGCTCATGTTCAACTCTCGAATCAAGTCTACATAATTAAGAGAGAATTAGAAGATAAATATTAGAGATTGTATGAAAATATTAGACATTATACGAAATCAATAATTAAATAAAAATTATATTTAGTCCATGAATTAATAATTAAATAAAAATTATATTTAGTCCATGAATTAAATTTCTCTAAAAATCTCGCTTGGATAGTTATATACATGCATGTTTATAATTGTTTCTTTCATTTACATTTATATATTATATATGTAAATTATTTATAAGTACATATCGTTACCTATATATATAAATATTTTATTTTTGTTCATATATTTATAAGTATATTGTTTATGCTTGTAACATATATATATATACAGATATAGAGATATATATAGATATATATATATATATGTTGAATTTTATTCTTCAAGTTGAAAGTCTGGTTTTTTCTTTCATTTGTCTCTTCTTTGATTGTTATTTTATTTTAAATTTATTTATTCAAAAATCTGATTTGATTTTAAAATCAATATCATTTGATACTTTTTAGATTTGATTAGATTTTCCTTTTTGGAAGTCACGCATTACTCTTAAAATTAAAAGAAAAAAAAATAGCTTTGGAGTTTATTGCAATTTACAAAAACTAGTTTGTTGGATCCCATTAGTCATCGGCTATTCCTGAGATTTCTAGAACTTTGTGCTAAATTAAAAAAAAAAAAACTCTTAAAATTTTGCTATCAAAAAAATAGTCCCTCTATTTATATAATAAAATGAAATTATTATTTTAATAATAAAAATTATAAACGAATTTTTAAAGGGGAGATATTATCTATAGATAATGGCTTTAATATAATAATTTAGGTTTAAATATTATCTTCGCACGACTTTAATTCATTTTTGTATGTGTACTCACAAAACATCCATTTGATCCGTATACTTTTGTTCATTTTAATCTGTTTGAAATGTTCATTTTTTGTCTGTTTACTTTTTTATTATTTTCACACTTCATTTCTTTTATCTCATTTATTTCAACAAAATTGAATAAAAGTTAACATGTCAAAGTATCAAAAGTACATTTCTTTTATCTCATTTATTTCAACAAAATTGAATAAAAGTTAACATGTCAAAGTATCAAAAGTACAGATATCAAAATAGTATTTAAATCTATAATATTTTGTTGTCGAATGAGTTTTAAAATTACAAGTTTATATATAGCATGTGTTTAATTTTGTTAATAATTTATAAAAGTCTGTATATCACCAATAATGAGAATAAATAGACCAACATAATTGAATCGTAACTTTTCAATTAAACTTGTGAACCAAACACTTATTTCACAACTTGACCTTTTTGTCTTACAAGCAAACAAATACCAATTTAAACTCATGGTAAAGTTCACATAAACAAGCTCCACGTCCTCAATGAGAACATTGCAAAATGAAAATTTTACCCAAAAGCATTTGAAATCAAAGTTTTAGTATAGAAATGAAAGAGTTGGAAGTTTTGATGGAATCTTCTGAGGGTTTCCAGAGACACCAGTTATAGAGTGTGTGTGTRTRTATATATATATATTGCAAGCAAAAAGGAAAAAAAGAAAAAGAAAAAAAAAATTCCAAGTCATTATTGGCAAAGGAATTTATGGCTATAACTATAAATTGGAGCATGGTTCCTACAGAGGCATCTTACATACAAAAGAACCTCAGCTCACATTTACAATGGAGGACCCAAAAAAAGAAGAAAAAAGGGCACAAATTCTCAGCTTGTGACCCAAATTTACTGGAAGATCAAAGATCTTACCAGGTACCTGTTATCATCTATGACCCAAAAATTGATAACTAGGCACTTCATAAGAATGCTTCWGAACAGTATTCACCATTTGTCATTCTATAATGTATCCTCCTCACCTTACTCTCTCTCAGACCCGTCGTCTGAAGTTTCCCTCTTATCGTCGTCCCGTTTCGGTTTAGGAGAGGATGGTCTCCTTTGGGAGCTTTGGTTTGGCTGGGTTTGGGGGTCATATTTCTGGGATGCTAGGTAGTTTAAAGCGGTAACGACATCGGATATAACTGGCCGCATGTTTGGCTGCTCCTGAACGCACATTGCGGCTATGGCAAGAGATTGGTATAGTCCCCTCACGGGATATTGTCCTTGGAGCATCGGGTCTACCATTTGTGAGAATTTCTTCCGGTCTCTGAACAGCGGTCGCGCCTGCAAACACCAGATAGCATAGCATCATAAGATTGATTTAGCCTCCAATGGTCATCCAGAACCAATGTTTATGAGCTTCATAGAATTCAACATATGCAAATAAATGATGATAGTAAATGCAAGAGAGTTACAACTCGTGACCTTTTTCTCACTATTGGATTAGAAACAACAGTTGCAACTTATATTTTAATTTTTGGATAAGAAACCATATTACTCATCAAATAGAAACTTATTTAATTGTTATTAAAAAAACTTAATTTTAAATTTAGGTTAAATTAGAAGCTTAATCCCTTGAAGGTTGTGTTTAATAAAACCTTTAACTTTAAGACCTATTAAACACTTTTAAGTATCAGGGACATTTTTAAAACAATTAAAAGTATACGGACCTATTACTTACTTTTAAAAATTTTAAGGATCTATTAGACACCTCCCTAAAAAATGAGAGACTAAACTTGAAATTTAGCCTTAAATTTATAAGTTTGAGAATCTGTTAAAATACAGCAAACATTTTGGATCTATAGTAGACAGTCCAAAGATAATTAACCTGAATAACAATTTCACCAGGAGTTCAAACGGGTTAAGGATGTCAAATGGGAAAAATAAGTGTACCGATCATCTCTTTATCATGCCATAATTTTGTTTGCAGATGTTCATTCTCTAAACAACATTTGAAGTTTTGGAGCCTTGACGAAAAGAGCGTCTTTGATCCAGCTTAATTATGCAATTCAGATGATTTATATCATTTAACTCCACCAGTTACCACCAGAACAGTTTGTAGATGTTTGAACTTATATGTAGAAAGAAATCTCTCTCAGATGCATGCATATCATTAAAGTAATATGCTAATCAATCTCATGCTTCATAACACTCGTGTTATAAGTAATTAAGGTTTAAAAGAACCTATATTGTATCTTGATCAAATGTTATTTTGTTACGCTCTGTAAACTAAAACAATCTTCAGGTGAATCCAAAGTCAGGAGATGCTATCACAATCATAGTGCCCTAAAATCAGAAGCTCACAACTTCTCCAATGGATGATGTGTGCCCATTCATATTTTCAAAGCATGAATTTCAAGAAAAGAAAAACATGGTAATATAAGTTGCACTAGAATACACGAGGAAATAGAAGAGCTGTCTTACCCAAGCCACGAGATTTTGCTCTGAATGTGGTTTTAAATGATCAATCGCTTTCCTGCCAGTTATGAGTTCCAATAAAACAACGCCAAAGCTGTAAATATCTGATTTAAATGTCAGCTGGCCTGTCATTGCATAATCTGGTGCACAATACCCATATGTGCCCATAACGCGGGTTGAAACATGTGTTTTATCCCCACTGGGACCTACTTTAGCTAATCCGAAATCAGATAGTTTTGAATGATATCCTTCACCGAGCAAAATGTTTGAGCATTTCAGATCACGATATATAACTGGGGGCTTCATCTTTTCGTGCAAATACTCCAAACCCCTTGCTGCACCAGCTGCTATTTTCATTCTTGTATTCCAATCAATTACTTTTGCACCAGGTCGAAGATCTACAAGCAGAGGATTTACAGGTCAAAAAATAGGAAGGGATAAAAAAAAGTACAAAGATTAAGTCATGGGTCAATCAATAAGGTACCATGTAAATGGTTTTCCAACGATCCCAATGGCATGTATTCATACACCAACAGCCTCTGATCCCCTTCAGCACAAAAGCCAATGAGTTTTACAAGATTAGGGTGATCAGCTAGACTTAAAGTCAAGACTTCCACAACGAACTCCCGAATTCCTTGAACTCCATTGCGGTCAAGTTGTTTGATTGCTACAACCTAGACAAAGACAGAAAAACAGGTCAGATTTCAAAGCATTGTCAACTCTATAAATCAAACAGAAGTACAACATTTCTTAAAGAGCTAGAGAGAAAGAATACCATACTATCTCAAGCTTGCTTAATAATTTTAGCATATGAGACAACTTTTCAGTTGAGTGATTGAATTAAACTTGATAGACACTATAAAAATTAAGTTGTGTTACATATAGACAAAAGAGAGCTCCAAAACTGCAAGATGGCTWCCATATAAACACTACATAAAATTAAACTCACTGCACTGACCTCGTTAACTTTCTCCAAGTACCCCTTGTAAACTTTGCCAAATCCTCCTTCACCCAGGAAGCAATCCGAGCGGAAGTTGCCCGTCGCCGCTGCAAGTTCCTCGAACGTAAAAGTCTTGGCGCGGCCCTTGGTTTCTCCATCCTCAGAAACCTCATCTTTCAAATTCAATTTCTTTACATCTAAAGCCAATTGGTCATCTTTAGATACGACCACCTTTACATCAGAATCTTTCTTCACTGCTAAACTTGAAACTACTTTCGCTTTATCTGCAAACACCCACAAGAAAAAGAATAAATAAGAAACAAAACAAAAAACCCTGTACTAAATTTACTCAACCTTAATCTTCTAAATCCCCTCGCAATGCAAAAACCGCCATCAAACCACTACATGAAATCCAAAAGAAAGAAAGAAAGAACAAAGAACGTTAAAGATTACATTAAACTGTTGTCAACCTGAGATTTTGGCTCTCAAATAGCTTATTTAACCTCGCTACTAATTTCCAGAAAACACAAATAGATTGGGAGGGAGTCCGTCAAGACGACGACAGCAGACTGCAGAAATTAAATACCGCATTAAATCCCACACCAAAACCAATCTCAATTTCTAATTTCTCTTCCGAAAAACAAACATCCACTGAACGCAGAAAAATCCCCACACAAAATTTCCAAAAGAAAACCCCCAAAATCAACAGGGTCAAACAAAACCCGATTCATTCCCCCCATTCGAAAAATTAGCAAAAGGGCAGAAATCAGGCAAAAATCACCTGAAGCCGCTAGATCCTCAGGCTTAGCGATCTTTCTATTGTGGTTTTTCTGGTCGATTTTCTCCGATTTCTTGCTGGAAGAACCGGTGCAGCGAAAGCAACCCATTACAATTTACAGCTCCTCCACCACTCCCTCTGTTTCTGAGCTCTGCAACGCAGAAAAAACAGAGCCGACAACAAAATCCCACCAGCGGAAACGCGGAGAYAACGGGAGAAAATAGCGAGAGAGAAAATAGAGAGAGAAAGCTGTAAACTGAGAGAGAGAGAGAGAGAGAGAAAGAAGTATTGTGGAAATTCTGATTTTCGAGCAATATTAATATTATTAGTTTTTTTTATATATATATATTATAACTTACGGTGTTTAATACTATAAAAAAGATTTAATTTTTTTTTCCACGGCTCCGTCCTGTAATAACGCGCCACGTGTACTGCGGGAGGGCTGTTTCGTAAATTGGGTTGCAGGAGAATGAATTACCTGCGGGAGTTAGTTGCAATAAATGCAGTTTTCGGGAACACGCCACGTCATCCTTGGGGCCGGGGCCCACCTGGAGTTTTTTTTTTAATTTGGTTTTTTTTGTCTTTTAGGTGTTGGTGAAGGTGAAGGGGTTTCTTGGTTGTGATTGGGTGGAGGGAACCGTTTGTAGATGAGCTCATCCGCAGGGGATCTTTCTCTCCTCCCCCGCGTGGAGGAATTTAATGGTCGATTGTTGCTCGGTTTCCCGTACGCAACACGGGAGACGATTTAATCGCCGTTGGATTTCACAATCCCGAGAAGAAAAACAAAAATAATAATAACTTTGGTAAGAAAAAAAAAGGAGAAAAAGTGAGAAAGTCAAAGCTAAGTGGGGCCCAGCATACGAAAGCGTCCAGTTTTTGGTGGGACCCGCTTGCCGACTCGTTTTATTTTTGTATAAATGCCTGGATTTTTTTTTCTTTTTTCCTATCTCCACCTTAATTTGTAAAGTCTTAATTTTTTTAAGCTTGATTTAAATATTAGGTTAAATTTAAAATAGCATTTTTGTTCATTTTTACTCGTGTATTCTATTTTAGTTTTTGTTTTTTTAAATGTTCAAATTTAGTCGATCTTAAAAATGAGTCAATTCGAGTATAGTTTTATAAAATTTTAATTATTTTTGTTGGATGTTCTATACACCTTTATAGAATCTCAGACAACACGCCATGATTTTCGGAACTATTGGAGAGTCGTTGGGCACTGTCGGAGGACCTGTTGGAAGCTCACTCCTATAAATAGAGATCTCTATCTCATTTTTAAGTACGCAAAACTATACTCTCCCTAGCATAGATTAGACAAACATTGACTTGAATGTCGGAGCATTTACTCTGTTTTACAGGTCTCTCACTCACTCATGAGCTCGTCGGCTAGTTCGCTCATCCATCCAAACTTTGAAAAAAAAATGGTCTCCATGGTTAATTTGAGGTTAATTTCCATTTAACATGGCATAATAATAATAATCTCAATTCAAGAAATTGTGAATAGGTTAAAGATTTATGAAAAGTTTAGAGATTAAATTTTAATATTAAAAAGCAGTTGAACTCAAATAGAATAAGTTTAAAAGTAGGTTAAACCTTAATCTCTATCCTATTAAGTTTATTCTTTTCTAAACTCTAAATTTTCTTTTAGTACCACACGTGGGGTGGGGATTCGAACTCATAAGTTTATTCTTTTCTAAACTCTAAATTTTCTTTTAGTACCACACGTGGGGTGGGGATTCGAACTCATGACCTTTTGGTCAGAGATAGGTAACTTAACCATTTGAGTTATACTCGGTTTGATTTAAACTCTAAAATTTTGAAAAGTAATAAATTTGGTCTAATAATTATTTATCATCCATATAATAAATAGTTTTTTTAGTACCATATAATAAATAGTTGACATAGTATTAAATGTGTATTAATTTCATAAAAAAAGTATATTAATTATAGTAAAAAAAATGTATATTAATTATTGTAAAATAGGTATATCAATGTATATACCAACATGAGCATATTAACGTACTAATATAGATGGATATGTATTGAAATCACATCTATCATAGTTGATTTGGATGTATTAGGGATAATGAAATGGAAATTAAAACGTAAAATGATGTCAAAGACTCAAATAATTATTTTATTTAATGGTTGGATATTAAAATACATATTTTGAATGTCTGTGAAAATGAGATTCAAATCTAAATAAATATTATAATGATTTTTCAATTTGTGTGTATATTATATTTTGATGATAAATATTATCTTGTAGTGTTGAATTTTTGTAAAGTTTTTTTGTCATTTTCATTAGAACTCTACGGWTWWTTWAMMAAAMCC